GCTCTGAGCCGGACCCCAGTCCTCCTCCCGAGAGCTCCGCGTCGGCCCCAGCCCAGGTAGGACACACCCCCGAACCGGGGCGCCAGAACCGGCCCGGCCCCCAGGAGCCCAAGGAGAGGCAGTCCTAGCCCGCGTCCTGCCCAGGCCTCAGCGTTAGCCGTCCCATCTCTCAGCGCGAGACCTCGGGGGCTGCCTGCCCAACTCCGCGGTCGCCTTGTGCTGACCCACATAACACCTTAGTCCTGCCTCCTCGGTACCGGCACTGAACCCTGGGGACCCTTGGGGATCCGCTGGCGTGGAAGGGGCCCGGGACGGCGCCCCTGCCCCCTGGGCTGTGAGGAGGGAAGGCAGGACTTTGGTACGGGGGGCTGGGGCAGTGCGCTGGGGGTTGGCTTGATACCGCTTCCGCGAAAAGAGGGTGGTATTGACGCCCTGGGATGCCGAGGCAGGGACGAAAGGCTTTCCGCCTGTGTACTGACAAATCTGGGGGGTAAATCATCCGCCGAGGTGCCAGGACACTTGATCTCACAGTGCAGTTAGTTTTGTTTCAGTCGTGGCTGCCTTAGAGGTAAAAATGACATTGAGTTGTACTTCGCTTTGAATTAAAGTTGGTAGGTGGCAGCACCCTGGTATTAACTCTTCTTTAACCTTAGAAATTGCCTTTGTGGGGACATTAAAAGAGATAAAGAGAATAGTTTTATTTTCTTATTACCCAGTGTATGTTGTGAAGACGCGTTGGCGGTCACTAGAGGTGAACTTTTTGTGTGTAGGAGGGTCACGTTGTGAATGGGCACATGAGTGTGTACACGCGCGCACACAGAGCCCACTGTTGTGCAGTGTTTGTTTCTGAGCAATTCATAAGAGTTGCATTGGCCATAACGGTTGTATATAAACATGTATTTGCCAAGATAGACCAAAAGAGTGTCTGCTGTTTTCTTTAGGCTAAGTGAAATAGAATAAACGTTCACTTAGGGGAGAAATGGAGAGTGACTTTGATGTATTGAGGGAGTGGAATGCTATGTATTGATTTTCTCCTCTTTTTTACTTTTACTTCTTTGTTTTTTTATTTTGTTTTTGAGACAGGATCTTGCTATGTAGTGCAGGCTGGCCTTGAACTCACTATGTAGCCCAGGCTGTTCTCAAACTTTCAGTGACCTTCCTGCCTCAGCTTCCCAGTGCTGGGTGTACAGGCGTGCACCACCATGCCAGGCCTCTCCTCTCTTTATTTAAAAATAAAGAAGCAATAATGATGACTAATACAACCTAGTATGACTAATCTTGAAGAATTTGTCTTAACTAAAATATTTCAGGTAATAAGTGTGTGGACTTGGATAGTATATTGTAATCTATCCAAATTAGATACGTATTGAATCTTTAATTTAGAAGGTATGCTTTCTTGTATGTTACATTTTCATCAAGTCTCCAAAAGGGATGTGTGAAGCATGATGGTGAAGGAAATTTTCTCTTAACATTTTTTCTTTATAATAGAATATATTAAGAAATGTTTTTTCCTCTTGTAGTTTTGGACGCATAAAAGAAATTAGAGTCTAGACTGAGTGTGGTGGTGCATGTCTGTAATCCCAGCATTTGGGAGGGCAGGACAGGATTGCCATTAGTTGGAGGCCAGCCTCAACTACATTGTGAGACCGTATCATGGAAAAAAAAATAGTTCGGCCAGGGATTTAGCTCAGTGGTTAGGTTGACTGTCTTCCAACTGCAAGGACCCAAGTTCAATCCCTGGTAAAAACAAACAAACAAACAAACAAACAAAAAACAAGTTCACTGGGACTTGGAGTTCACTGTTTCTTAGAGACAGTATTATACACATACACATACATACACACACACACACATACACACACACAGACACACATATATATATGGTTTGTAGCTTCTTTAATTCATAATTCATAATATGAAATTGAAACAAGTTTGATCATGGGTAGGGAGCTAAAATAATATATTTTGCTCATTATCTTGTACTATAGTTCATACATAATTTAATGAATTCTGTATTGTATTATATCTGATTTCATATTATATCTTTTAATTAAGTACGGATTTTTTTAAAGTACTGATTATTTTAATAAGAAAGCTTCATGAGGTTAGAGCTCATTCACTTTAGTGGATTGAACCCAATTATTGAATATACAGCTTCAGATACCTTTAAAAGTAGTATTTGGGGGCCGGGGATTTAGCTCAGTGGTGTTGCCGACTATCTTGCAAGCTAAAGGTCCCAAGTTTGATCCCTGGTACACAAAAAAAAAAAAAAAAAAAAAAAAAAAAAAATGTAGTGTTTGAAGTAAAGTTTTTATAATTTAGACAATTTACTAGGGTATTTGACATCTAAAAATGTATTTAAATGTGACAGTGATTGATTGTTATGGAACTGAGTTAGCTGTGATCATGAAATTTAAATTTCACTTTGGTGGTGGGCAGCAAGTCTTTATAAGCTTTACAACTTTAAAAAGTAATATATATACAAATGACGTTTTGATTGCAACTCATGAGAGACCCTGAACTAGAACCACTCAGTTAAGACACTTGGAAATTTTTAATCCTCAAAACTGGGATGTAGCTCAGTGGCACAGTACCTGCCTAACAAGTGCAAGGTCCTAAATTTGATCTCTGGTACCAAAAAAATTTTTTTAAATCCTCAGACTATATGAGATGATAAAAATTTGTTGCTTAAAAAATTGTAACAAGGGAAATGCTTAATAATTACTATGAAGTAGTGGGAGCTGGATTGACTAGCAAAATATGATGGCCTTTGAAAATCACTGGAAATTATAGCTTTCTTCCCCACTTTATTTTATTTATTTTCCCCACTTTATTTTTTATTTACTTCTTTTTTTTTGAGACAGGGTCTCGCTATATAGTTGAAACTGACCTGGAACTTACTATGTAGCCCAGGCTGGTCTCGAACTCACAGTGATCCTCCTGTCTCAGCCTCCAGAGTGCTGGGATTACAAGCATGCGCCACCACACCCGACCTACTTTTTGTTTTTTTGAGTTGGAGTCTCATTATGTAGCCCAGGCTGGTTTCAACTCCTGGTAATCCTCCTGCTTCAGCCTCCTGAGTGCTAGTCACCAAACCCAGTTTCTACACCCCTTTAAAATATATATATATGGCAAACAGATTTATATATATATATATATGGCAAACAGATTTTTCAATTTAAGGGCATGATACTTAGTCTCATCATATTTTTTGCTGTTTTTGAGGTTTGGTTTTGTTTTGTTTTGGTACCAGGGATCGAACTTGGGATCTTGCTCATGTGAGGCAGGTGGCAGAACCAGTGAGCTAAAACCCGGCCCTATTTATGAGGTTTTTGAGAAACATTCAAAATACAGCTGGTATGATCTGTTTATTTGATTGGTAATATAGTAGGATATCATCAATACTTGTAGACTTTTGAAATTAAAAACACTTCATACTATTTTACTTTGTTGTTTTCTTAGCCAGCGTAATGTAAACAGTAGTGATGATAGTTTTTTCCAGACTTCAGTGGATAGAACATTTTGCATTGAAAATACACAGTGCTTTTAAGTTAAATATCACACTTCTGTATTTGATAAAATAGCCTTTAAGTTCCTAAGAAAAAATTAACTTTTTTTTTTTTGGTACTGGGGATCCAACTCAGGTCCTTGCGCTTGGCGGCAGCACCACTGAGCTAAATCCCTGGTCCTTCTTTTTCAGAAGTTTGTTTGCAGTGTTGGGATTGAACCCAGGGCCTTATGAATGTTAGTGGCAGTAGTCTGCCACTGAAACCCCCAAACTTGAGTTTTTTAAATGCTAAATTTTGAGCATAAGCACAACACTATGACCACAGAAAACAGTTTCTATCTGCATTTAAAATCTGTTGACCCTTGATTATAGGTTTAAATACAGATGAAATTGTATTATTTATATAATGTATCTGTTTTGTCAGATTTCATCTGTTAATCAGATGACTTTTAAGCAGACCTCTTGGTATATTTTAATATATGTTGTATGATTTTTTTAAAGTTAATTACTCTCTTTGTGATTGTTATTTTATATGCATTTGATACTCAATTAAACGTACAATACTTAGAAACTTTTGTGAACACTTTGGATTTTTTTCCATGTTTTAAAAATTTTTTTTGTAAGATTCCTGATGTTTTTTTCTTTTTCTTTTTTTTCTGGTGCTGAGGTTGAACCCAGGACCTTGAGCATACTAGACAACTGCTCTGTCACTAAGCTACATCCCCAGCTCTTTTGTTTTGTTTTGTTTTGTTTTCCTCTTGAGAAAGGAGCTAGCTCTATGTTGCTCAGGTGGCCTTGAACGCCTAAACTCAAGTGATCCTCCTGCCTTAGCGGTCTTAAGTCTGGGATTATAGTCAGGTCCCACTATACTTGGCTTGTTTTGGGATATTGATCTCTGTGTGTGTGTGTGTGTGTGTGTGTGTGTGTGTGTGTGTGTGTGTGTTTAAAATTGTATTATAGGAATTTGCTTTTCCTTCATTCGGGTAAAGCTTCCAAAGGTAAAAAATTCTTCTTTAAAAGAATTTGGAGTATAATAGTGTTTCCTGAAAAATGAGATGTATGAAGTAGCTTCTTGCCTCCCTTTGGTAAGCTATCAAGATTTAACCTAATGATGTTTTAAGAATCATCCCTCTTTTTTTGTATT